TCTATCTATCTATCTATCTATCTATCTATCTATCTATCTATCTATCTTTATAATTATACATAACTATTCTAATAATATATAGATCCCATTATCCCATCCATGCACCCTCAAATCCCAGAGATTTAATCCTCTTTAAGGTCTCTTCATGATTACATAACCACAATTGAAGTGACACATCAGATAGAAAAACGATTATGTGCAGCTGTTCCTTCAGGTCAGAGAGATTAAGTCCATGTCTGCCGGCCTCTGTCGTCCCTTTTCTCACTTCCCAGCAGCCCGCGGTCATCTTTAATCACGCATGCAGCAAAGACCAACCGTCTGAGAACTCGCTGTACTGAAAGGGAACCTCGGGCCATTTCTCTCTGTAGCGGTTCTCCCTCCACATCAGCTCACAATCACAATCAGAAACACTTTAATAATCCCAGAGGGAAGTTATTTTTGTTACTAGCTCCATAAATAAAACAACAGCATATACATATATACATGACTATACACACACACACACACACACATATATATATACCGGTATATATAAAATTCCACACAGAATATAAATAAATATATACATACGTAACTAAGCATATAAGTATATACATAAGTAACTAAGTATATATATATAGGTATAAAATAAGTGATAATGTCAATAATCCCAGAGGGAAATTATTTTTGTTACTAGCTCCATAAATAAAACAACAGAATATACATATATAAATATCTATACATACATACTGTATATATATATATATATATATATATATATATATATATAAAATTCCACACAGAATATAAATAAATATATACATGAGTAACTATATGTATATATAGGTCTAAAATAAGTGATAATGTCAATAATCCCAGAGGGAAATTATTTGTGTTACTAACTCCAGAGATAAAACAACAGTATATATATATATATATATATATATATATATATATATATATACATGTCATTACATTCTGTGTGGAATTTTGTATATATACTGTATATATATATTTATACAAAATTCCACACAAAATATAAATAAATATATACATAAGTAACTATATGTATATATATAGGTCTAAAATAAGAGATAATGTCAATAATTTAGTTAGAATTCACAGCTCATTTGAGGTTAACTGAAAATCCATCATTTCAAACGCGGCTGTTTGGATAGACGGCGGACAGATGGTGCGGCGGGGGTCAGATGGCCCCGGAACAACGGCCGCTTTGTGGTCAACAAGCCGCCGGCCTCATTCGCTCTGCGTTTAGCGTCATAATCCTGCCGCTGATATCCAGATGAGCAGCCGTTTGAGCAAAACCGAGTCAGACCAAAAACAGCCGTCCTGTCTCAGGAACCCCTAAAAAGACTGTCCAACACAAACACATCCACTGGGAACCGGATTTACTGGGAAATGAGCTGAGCCGGATGCCTCCCGAGTCATAGCCCAAATTTTTTTATTTAACCTTTATTTAACCAGGAAGTCTCATTGAGATTCGGAATCTCTTTTTCAAGAGAGACCTGGCCAAGGTAGCAATAAAATCAGAGCAATATGTTAAAACACATTGATAAAATAAAAGTTACTGAGGTCCGAGGCCTGGACCTTAGGTCAGAGCCGCTCTCCAAAATAATAGTGGGATGCTGTCAATTAATGGTTAATATTCCTTAAAGTTAAACCTCGATAGTAACCCAGTTTGTGCAACACGGTGAAGGCTTCTGACTCTCTTGTAAAACAAATGCATTGGATTAGCTTCTAAAGGAGACCAAAATCAAGCACGTGGCCCCTCGGATTGTCTGGTTTCCATGTGGGTTTTTCCGTGTAGAACTAGAGAAGAATGACGAAAACCTCCTTCTTTTCTTCTCACTTCCTGTTCTCTCGATCCCCTGTGTGACCTCATTCCTCTGACTCTGTCTCCCGTTCAGACGTCATACCGAAGGGAGGGCAGTTACCACCACCAGGTATTATTGGATAAGTGGGAGAATGAATGGGTGCACGGCCTCCATGTTGGCTGCCTCCTGCTCGCTGTGCTGTGTGTGGATCTGCATGCGCTGATCCGTGACTCACCGGGAGACGGATGAGGGCGTGACCCGACTATAGAGAGGGCGCTAATGTCCCCGGTTAGCTCTTTAAAATGGAAATGGTTCGGGTTGGAATCAATGGGCTGAATTAGCGAGGAGATGCCAGCTTGCAAAAGGGAAATGAGCTCGCTCGTGTTGGACTGTAAAGAGGATTCTCAACAGCTGCAAACCAAAGCAGTTTAGTTTAGTTTAGTTTGGTTATGTTTGGTTTGGTTTAGTTTGGTTTAGTTTCGTTTAAGTTTGGTTTAGTTTAGTTTAGTTTGGTTTAGTTTAGTTTAGTTTAGTTTGGTTTGGTTTGGTTTGGTTTAGTTAAGTTTAGTTTAGTTTGGTTTAGTTTGGTTTAGTTTAGTTTGGTTTAGTTTAGTTGGTTTAGTTTGGTTTAGTTTAGTTGGTTTAGTTTGGTTTAGTTTGGTTTAGTTTAGTTGGTTTAGTTTAGTTGGTTTAATTTAGTTTAGTTTGGTTTAGTTTAGTTGGTTTAGTTTGGTTTAGTTGGTTTAGTTTAGTTTAGTTTAGTTTAGTTTAGTTTAGTTTAGTTTTTCACAAAGCGATTGAATCTAATGCTCAACGGCAGAGATGTATAAAGTACTGTAGTAGAAGTACAAGTACTATATAAAAAAATTGACTCTAGTAAAAGTTGAAGTGTTCTTTCAACACCATACTAGCACAGAAGTACTTAATTTTTTTAAACTTAAGTATTGCAAGTAAAAGTATTTATAAAATTGCTGCTCAAGTATTGAAAGTACAAGTAAGTAAAAGTACACGTACTGTGTATATTAAAAAAAGCAGTCAAAAGTTTGATAAATATTGTTTATATCATTTCAAACGTGTGAAAGGCCATACGGGTGTTTACAAAAAACAGTAAACCAGGTTTGGCTCTTAACCAGATACTTGGAATTCTCCCAGTAGGTCACAGACAATTTCCCAATCTTTTTAAGGCTATGCTTGATGGCTCAAACCAGCTTCCCAAACCCTGACAGAGCTATCTACAGCTCTGGCTCTGACTCTATGACTTTGGGATGATTCATTACGTTTACAGATCAATAGGTATTAAATTAATCAAAAATATGTAGTGGAGTAAGAGTAAAAGTAGGGAAAAAAAATACAGATGAGTACAAAATGGCTCTCGGCTCTGAGTCCGTGCCCTCTTTATCTCCATTTGTAAACATTTAGCGTCGCTTGCGTTGCATTTTGCAGGAAGCAGCATGAAATATTTACCGAGGCTTAGTTTTTATATCCACAACCAGCTCGAGCGCTGGCAAATGTGAGCAAACAGGTTAAATATTTATCACTGGGATTTTGTTTAAAGACCACTTGTAGCAAATATTACAAGAAGTCGATCAAATTAATTTATTTTCTCGTCGTGTTTAAATGTCTGCCTGACATCTTCTCCACGTCCCGGTTGTAAAAAGAGCTTCTTTTGGATGCTTTGGGGTTGTTATTTACTGCATAACTCAGAATAATAGGGAGCTTTGTCCATATTTTACCCCGAACGTTTCCTTCCCGACGATTCTTCCAGTTTAGGAAACAATGAACATTTCTGCACACAGACCCTCCAAGATTAGTCCCTGATGATATCCTCTCAGCTTCATACATATTTCATGAGCATTTCCCTCCTTAACTTTGCTTCTGACTGACCTTCAGATTATATTTGCATGAAAGTAATGCTGATTTTCCTTAAGAAATGACATATTCATGCTAATCAGGAGGCCTAATAACGGTTTAGTGGCCTTCGCTGAAAGGCTTTTAATGATGGCACGCCACTCTGTGGACTACTTTTAATCTTGTTGAAGTTCCCTTAATGGGAGTTTTTGTGATTAAGTTTTGAAAATTGGAGCAAGATTTGAGAGAAAACAACACATGCAACAGACCCACCTATGCTATGAACGTCTACAATTTGGAAAAAAACTTAAGAACTCACACTAAAGTGAGATGTCAGAAAATATCTGATCACCTCACAGTTATGTTTAAAGCAAAAATGTTACAAATATCTACCTTAAAGATCTGGAGAAGTCTAAAAATGCTCCCGTGAGTTGTTTAAAATTTGCTATCCACTATCCAAGTATGAGAAAATATCCAAAATATCGTCTATGCTGTAAACAGAGAGGAGGAGAATCTTCTCCACTGACTAAAAAGGGAGCCACAATATCCAAAATCTTATACATTATTTTTATATTTTATATTACAGACTTGACCATTTATTTAGTCTCACATAAACCATATTTAAAATAAAATAATTCTGCCTTGATCATCTTGATTTTTGTGACTAACATCAATGGGATTTAATGTACAAAATTCAGTCGACAGCTTTGTTTCTATATTCAATTAAACTGATCATAAACCTTCAAATATTTCCACATTTTGCCTTAGATTAAATTGGGAAATGTTTCCTCAGGAGACAACCTATGTTTTAAAGGGTGATCCCATAAATTAGAGGCAGGGTCAATGAACCTTTTCCTCCTTGGACAGTTTTATTTGATCATTTGCATGCCGTGCGGGTCGAATCTCGATGCACTTTCCGGAGAAATCAATATATCTAATAATATTAATAAAATATATGAAGATATAAAAGCGTGCCAATTTTTAAAGGCGGCTTCGCATAAATCCACAGAAGTGACGGGTTGGGCGGCAGCCAGAGATGGAAAATGCCCTTTTTACCAGCTATGGATGCTATAAATGCTAATTCTGCTGCTAAAACTAGTGTTTTTATCCCGTTAAGACTTTTAAATCTGCACCAGTTTGCTCTCAGTCTCTATTACGGACTCCCCGAAGCTGCTGATCAATACGGGGGTTTGTTTTAGTATTAACTCCTGTGTTTCTAAGCATTAGAGCCGGCTTCATCATTCTGCAGCATCCTTCAAAATGGCTTTTTCCGTCTCAGCCCGGGAGTGGAACAGGAAGAGGGAAAGAAATCCATTTTTCATTTGCGAGGCGTTCAGTGGAGGCTCGATGCTTCATTTGCATTTTGCTGCATCACTCCTCGGGACTTTTTAAAGAATGTCCCTCCTGGTTTTGTCCCGTGTGAGTCTGCATTCAGCCGGCCGGCGGCAGCTGGGTCTAAACCGATGGGGTCACCGGGGGAACCAGAGCTCATCCCGTCCATCTGCCTCACCTCATAAAGCAGCCGTGAGCTAGAATCAGGCCAAAGGAGCTCTGTTTGAAGGCAAAAAGGATGGATCAGTGGATCAGTGGGCGCCGGAGAGGATTCAGGCTCACAGTCCCTTCAAACGATTTCTTTTTTTTTATTCGAATATTTCTATTGGGGTTTTCACTTATAAAACAATGAACAAGTCCCCAAACAGCAACCCCAACATAAAGAATTATAAAGTGACAATAATAACACGTACACAAAATAAATAAATAAATAAATAAATAAATAAATAAATAAATAAATGAATGAATGAATGAATGAATAAATAAAATAAAAAAATAAAAAATAAAAAAAAATGAATGAACGAATAAATAAATAAATAAACAAATAAATAAATTAGACTCCAGTTAATAATAAGCGGTATTGATAATGGATGGATGATAAATAAATAAATAAAAATAAAATAAAATAAAATAAAATAAAATAAAATAAAATAAAATAAAATAAAATAAAAAATTAATTAATTAAATAAAAAATAAAAAATAAAAAATAATAATAATGAAAAAAATATATAAAAACCTGACAAGTTACAGAGTTACAGAGCCAGTGAATCAACTATGTCCCAGTATTTCCAGCAGGGAATTGTAAGTCAAAATAATTCAGAAATGGCTGCCAGACCATATAAAATCTCCGGGTTGAACCCCCGATCGCGTGTTTTAACTTCTCAAGTTTCAAGCGTGCCATCACATCCTCATCCAACCATATTTCTGATGAAAGGCTCGTCCGTGGGGATTGTAAATGGATGTGGAGGAACCCTCCATCCGTCTCTGACAGGGCGACGGGGGCCGCTCCACAAACCCAAAGTCTCCATTAAAGAGGGCTGCGGAGACGAGATGAAAGACGGCCATTTGTTAAACCAACCGGCTGTCAGGGACCGGAGGAGGAAGGGGGGGGGGGGGGGGGGGGTGGAGAGGAAGGATGAGAGGTTAGAGAAGAGGAGCCCACAATTAAAAAGGAGAGCTGTGAATGTTGGAATAGATCAGAGAGGACCACGGATACCACATTTTTTCAAGGTTTCTCACATTTCTTTTTTT